ACTTGTGATCTCTGTCTGTCAAATAAATGAATAAAGTCTTTAAAAAACAACAACAACAATGGAGTGGGGGACCTCAGGGCCATCACATGAATGACACAGAAGGGGAGTTGCAGCAAAGGTAGTACTTACATGAGGCTGAAGAGACCTTCCAGATCTGGCAGAGATGCTAAGGAGAAGGCTGGTGGCAGAGCATGGGTAGGAAGCGGCAGGAGGCTTCCCTCATCCTGACGCGGGGAGAGCACAGGCACCTTCACGCCTGGTGCAGAAGACGCGCTGTGTGACCCTGGCCCAGTTGCTTGCCCTGTCTGAGCCTGTTTTCCCTCAGTATAGATCACAAAACAGAAGGTCAGCACCGGATGCCCTGAAAACACTTGGTGGCTCAAAGCTCCCCTTTCCCTCACGGTCAGGGCAGCAGTCTTCACAATGTAAGAGCCACAGGTGTCCCAGTCCCCTACCCCCCCCCAACACTCAGAAGTGTTTTGTAACTCACAAGCATCTTTTTCTATCTAAGTTTTGGTCTGCACGTGAGTCTTTTGTGTTCAAATTAGCATAAAATGTGCTGTGCCCAGGCTGCAGGGGCTATAGCAGTGATTGTAACTCCTCAGTCCCATATTGCCATTTATTGAGCACCAACTGTATACTTGGCTCTGCACAGAATGTTCCCCATGTGAGTGGTTTTGACATCTAGAGTCCAAATCAGCTGGTTTTGTTTTTGTACCAGGACTTGATCTTAACAGCAACCCCCTGGGGAAGGAGGCTTCGTGCCTCCTCTTTCACAGATGAAGAAACAGGTTCAAAGAGGGGACTTGCCCAAGTTTGTCACAGCAGAACGGGGATCTGGACCTGAGCCAGTCTCAGCCAGCCCCCTCCACGGCTCAGGCTTCTGGGGTGCCAAGACAGCCCAAGCCCCTCCACAGGGTGCCCCTGCCTGGAAGGATACTGAAGGTGGAGCAGGAAGCCGTCTCCAGGTCATAGAGGCAGCTGCAGAGTTCGCGGGGATCAGAGGTCAGGCCGGACAGCTACGGGGAAGCACAAGCCTCAGCGAGGTGCCTCCCCACCCCAACAGAACCCCTCGGCACCCGAGCCCTGCCCCAGGCTCACCCAGGCGATGTCGTCATTCACCACCACCAGCGCAAACTCATGGCTCTTGTCGATCTTATGTTTTGTCCGCACAAACATTTCGATCATCTTCTGGGAGACATTGAGGGCGTTGGTTTTGGAGCTGGGGAGGGAGAGAGAGTGAGGGGGGTGGTTAAGGCAAGGCCTCCCAGCCTGGAGGGTGTCTCTTCACCTGCCAATCCTGGGCAGCCCTCCGCTAGCCTCAGGATTAGGCACTGCAGGCCCAGGTCAGGTCATGCAGCGGGGAGATGGCAAAGCCCAGCGCCCCCACCGCCCCGGCTTTTGCCTTCGCCAAATGGGGTTCCTCTGGCCAGCCTGGGTCTCACAATTGATCCCCAGGAGGTCTCCCCCAGGCCTTCACTCAGCCACAGATGGCTA